GCGATTTTAAATACAAACATAAAAAAAACCAATGGTTTTTCAACAAAAAATTGTCGAAATTTCATCCCGCGCGCTCTTGCGGATTCGTAGGAAACCCAACACTTTTTAAACATTTCTGTCAAACGGGCTTTTGCGAGCAACTTTTTCGAACTTCTGCAACAACGGTTGCGCACCTGCCAGGGCCATCATCCCTGTCAAATAATACCATGCGGGACACATTCGTTTTTTCTTCGCGCGCGCACGCCGTCGTCGTCGGCCGCGGGGCCCTGAATAGTAGCCACGGTCGTCCGCATGCCACGAAGTGAAGTGTCCGAACGTCATAGGGCGGGAAGCTGGGTGTGGGTGGTGGCGAAGAGTCGTTTGGAAATTTGGTAGAGCTTGAACCGGCCCCCCCACAAAGTGGGGGTATTGCCCGCCTCCTATGAAAACCCTGGCACTGGTGAGAACGGTGTGTCCCCACGTGCTAGTAATTGTTGTTGTTGTTGTTGTTGTTGTTGTTGTTGTTGTTGTTTGTTGTTGTTGTTGTTGTTGTTGTTGTTGTTTGTTGTTGTTGTTGTTGTTGTTGTTGTTGTTTGTTGTTGTTGTTGTTGTGTTGTTTGTTGTTGTTGTTGTTGTTGTTGTTGTTGTTGTTGTTGTTGTTGTTGTTGTTGTTGTTGTTGTTGTTGTTGTTGTTGTTGTTGTTGTTGTTGTTGTTGTTGTTGTTGTTGTTGTTGTTGTTGTTGTTGTTTGTTTTTGTTGTTTGTTGTTGTTTTTTTGTTGTTTGTTGTTTGTTGCTTGTTTGTTGCTGTTGCTGTTGTTGTTCTCGTTGCTCTTGTGTTGTGTTGTTGAGCCCTCATTTCTGAAGAATAATTATTGTTGACCCCCCCTCACCAGTGCATGCTGTTTTTTCTCAATCAAAGTGTGCCCCTCGACGCTCGCACCCTGTTCTTCGACAGGGAAAGTCTTGATGCTCAAACTGTGCCCCTGGCCCACGGGTTACAACAACAACAGCTCCCGTCTGAGACTTCCTCACAATTTAGCCAGGACCCTCGCTCCCGCCCGAAACTTCCTCGCATTTGATTTAGGAATCGCGCTCTCGCTTGGGACTTCCTTACAATTTATTCAGGAATCGCTCTCCCGGCGCTCTGGAGTCGCGCTCTCGCTGGAGATTTGCTTGCAATTTGCTGACGAATAGCGCCTTTGCGTTGGAATTTCTTGCAATTTACTCAAGCGTCGCGCTCCCGACACCCATGCACCCAGGAGTCGCGCTCACGCTTAGGACTCCCTCACAGATTACCTAGGAATCGGGATCTCGCCGCCCTTCGTGGCCCCGTTGCAGTCCTTCGTGGCTCCCTCGCTTTGTCTCGTGGCCCCGTTGCAGCCTTTCGTGGCCCCCTCGCTTTGTTTCGTGGTCCCGTTGCAGCCCCTCGTGGCCGCCTCGCTGCCCTTCGTGGCCCTGTTGCAGCCCTTCGTGGCCCCCTCGCTTTGTTTCGTGGCCCCTTTGCAGCCCTTCGTGGCCCCCTCGCTTTGTTTCGTGGCCCCGTTGCAGCCCTTCGTGGCCCCGTTGCAGGGAAGAAGGGTATACCTCCCAAAAGGGGTTCGATCGAAGACGAAGAGGGCGGGTATCGAGGGTTTGGGAAATACGCGTTATTGGACACTCGAGCAGATAAGGGCGAACAGTCTTAAAATTATTGTTGTTGTTGTCGTCGTTGTTGTGGTTATCGTTGTCGTTGTCGTTGTCGTTATGGTTGTCGTTGTTGTTGAACATTATTTATTCTAAAGAATAATTATTGTTGGGCCCCCTGGTGCGCGCCCCCCCTGCGCCGCCTAGGCCGCAGCTACATTTTCATCATTTTCGTGAGGAAGCCTCAGAAAAGAGGGTGTGTACAGGATCCGGTTGTTTTGTTGTAATCCGCTTTCCCTTGCAAAAAACAATAGAAAATGACATTTCTTGTTCTAATATAATCAAATTTCAAGAATCCCTTGCAAAAAATAAGGTAAAGTGGACATTCGCGCGCGCAAGACGAAATCCTTCCAAAACCTTAGTGTTCGAGCGATTTTAACATAAAAACATCAAAAAACCAATGGTTTTTCAACAAAAAATTGTCAAAATCTCATCCCGCGCGCTCTTGCGGATTCGTAGGAAACCCAACACTTTTTAAACATTTCTGTCAAACGGGCTTTTGCGAGCAACTTTTTCGAACTTCTGCGACAACGGTTGCGCACCTGCCAGGGCCATCATCCCTGTCAAATAATACCATGCGGGACACATTCGTTTTTTCTTCGCGCGCGCACGCCGTCGTCGTCGGCCGCGGGGCCCTGAATAGTAGCCACGGTCGTCCGCATGCCACGAAGTGAAGTGTCCGAACGTCATAGGGCGGGAAGCTGGGTGTGGGTGGTGGCGAAGAGTCGTTTGGAAATTTGGTAGAGCTTGAACCGGCCCCCCCACAAAGTGGGGGTATTGCCCGCCTCCTATGAAAACCCTGGCACTGGTGAGAACGGAGTGTCCCCACGTGCTAGTAATTGTTGTTGCTGTTGTTGTTGTTGTTGGTGTTGTTATCGTTGTGGTATTTTGTGGTTGTTGTTGTTATTGTTATTGTTATTGTTATTGTTGTCGTTGTCGTTGTGGTTGTGGTTGTTGTTGTGGTTGTGGTTGTTGTTGTTGGTGGTGGTGGTGTTGGTGTTGTGGTTGTGGTTGTGGTTGTGGTTGTGGTTGTGGTTGTGGTTGTTGTTTGTTGTTGTTGTTGTTGTTGTTGTTGTTGTTGTTGTTGTTGTTGTTGTTGTTGTTGTTGTTTGTTGTTGTTGTTGTTGTTGTTGTAGTTGTTGCTGCTGTGGTTGTTGTTGTTGTTGTTGTTGTTGTTGTTGTTGTTGTTGTTGTTGTTGTTGTTGTTGTTGTTGTGTTGTTGCCGTCGTCGTTGTTGTTGCTGTTTTTGCGGTTATTGCTGCTGTTGCTGCTGCTGTTGTTGCGGTTGATGCTGTTGTTGCTGCTGCTGCTGTTGTCGTTGGTGCTGATCATGGTAATGCTGAACATGCTGACAAGGCTGCTGCTGCTGCTGCTGATGGTGATGGTGGTGGTGATGATGATGTTCTGTACTTGTACGGAAATCCTCGAGAGCAGATTGGGGACAGCCGCATACTCGATGCAAGCTATTGTGTCCGTCCTATCTTGGCTTTAGCTTCGAAGGCGCGGGTCCCCTCGGCGGCTCCCCATGCTCAAGTGGGCGCTGGAGCGGGGAGGCGAGTACGCCGCGCAGGGGCTGGTCAACTACCTCGCGCGGTGCCCTTCGGTGCCGTCCTGCCCCACTTGTCCAGCGCTCACCTGCCAGGCCTGCGGGGCGTGCCGGGTGCAGCGTGCCCAGGGCTGACGTGCCCAACCTGTCCGACTTGCCCGGCCTTCTCGGGGGCCGTCGGAGCGCCGGCCTGCCCGGCGTGCCCCGCCGCCTCAGAGGCGGCGCCGTGCGTCGGCAGCGGCTGGGGCTTCGCCTGGTTCGTAGTCGGCGTGGTCGTCGGGGCGGCGGAGGTGCTGGCGCTGGTGGCCGGGGTCCAGGCTGCTCGCTGCTGCGGACGCCGCGTGCTGCCAGGGCTCAACGGACCGCCGTCGGAGTTGTTCGTGAGCCTCGACGATGGCGACGTGGGCGATTGTGCTGTACATCGGGGCCGGCCCTCGTCAGGTGTGGCACCAGAGACTGGTGCTAGGAGTGGTGGGATTGTCGGGTGGTAAGCTTCACATGATTGCGACCCCCGAGTGGCACGTGTACGCGGAGGACTACGGGCCAGGCTCTGCGGATGTGGCGGCAGTGAGGTGGGCCCCCGCCTTCAACGTGCTGCCCGACGGGACTCGCCCGGCAATGTGCACCGTTTCCGCGCGGAGCCGACGCCGGCGCAGGTGGCGGACTTCACGGCGGCGGCGGCGGTGGCCGAGGCGGCCGTGGAGGCAGGGGCGCTCGCGGCGGCCCAGTGGGTCGCGGCTTCTGCGGCGGCCGCTGGATGCCTGTTGCCGGTGGCGCAGCACGCGGTGGTCGCCCTGCCTGCGGGCGGGGCCGCTGCGGCCGCCGCCTCCGCACCGCTCCAGGCCGCGGGCGTGGCCCCAGCCGCCGCCGCGCCACCTCTTCGGGCCCCTCCGCCAGTGGGCCCGCTGCAGGGGGTTGGCGTCGCGGCGGGGCCGGAGGAGCGTGCTCCGCGCGGGGTGGCCGCCGAGACCTTCGGTCAGTACCGGCTGGGCGACGTCGTGCAACACGTGGCCAGGGCGGGCGCAGTCTGCAACAAGGACATCCACCTCCTCCCCGACGGCTCGGGCCTCTTCGTCGTGTACCTTCGCCCCAGCGACGAGGAGGCCTTCTTTGACGGGATCGTGGCCGCCGGTGCGGCGGAACAGGTTGGGACGGCGAGAGTGGACCTGGGGGGAGATGTAATCAGCAGTCAGGAAGGAGGACTCCGGGAAAGACTGGGGGCTGCCAGGATGCCGCACCGCTGCATGGTCCTTCGTGCACATCAGTGCCGAGGGCGGCAGCCTGGACGGCCATCATGATGGCTTCAGGTCGTTGTGCCGCCTCGAGCCGAATGGCTGGGGAGTGGCCGAGCATATCCACCTCGCGGGCGCGGTCAAGGCCGCCCTGCTGGTGGACTAGCTCGACGGGACGAACCTCGTGTCGGTCGAGATGCTGCTGCGGAGGATCGAATTTGCGCACCTCGAGCGCGCAAGGGAGGCAGAGTCGAAGGGGTGCAACGGCCGCCTGAGCCTCGAGGAGCAGCAGGCGTTCGCGGGCCCCAGCCGAGCTCAGGGCAGCTCAAGATCTGCCCGGAACTGCCGGAGGTAGTGCGCGCGGACGTGGAGCGGGACGCGCAGCTCAACAAGGCCAACCGAGAGGGGCGGGAGGCCAGCCGCAAGAAGGCGGGCAAGGACTGAACTTCTTACCGCAGAGTCTTTCTCAGGCCGGCCTGCGCTGCGTTGAGGGCGCAGCGTGGGCCTCTTGTCCCCTGGCTGGCGTCCTCCGCCCCCCTCTTTCTGTCTACCTCGTGCGAGGCCGGGTCTCGCCACCCCCCGTTGAAGCGTCTAATTATGTTGACGCGCCCTCCCGACTTGTGCTCCGTGGCGTTTTGCCTCTGCCGCGCTGCGCGGTCGAGAGAGTCCGCGGGGCGGGTCAGGGATTGCCCCGCGGTGTCCGACAGAGGCTTAGTAAGCGTGAGAGTATCGAGCTGGACTGCGATCGCGTGGCCTGGGCCCTGTTCTGTCAGTATCTTCGCCAGGATCATCCGGCCGTGGGAGCTGGCTCGGATCGTGCAGTTTTTGTTTCCCAGGGCCAGCGGCGCTGTCTCGATCGGACACGGGACTCTGGCTGCCCCTGGGCCACCTCCGCTGGAGGTGACTCCCGCGGACGCTCTGATGAAGCTTCGCGTGGCGAGCTGGTATGACATTGACTCTGCTGTGCTCGGTTCCTAAAGCCTCGCTGACATTTCACTGCCCTCTGGCACGCCAGCTCCTGTGCTGGTGGAAGATTTGTGGGATGCTGGCGGGTCGGGTATGATTAGAGACTTCGTCGAAAGCCGATTGCTACCGCCTGGCAAGGCTGATGTCCGTCTCAAGTGTGCTCGGGTGGCGGTGCCATGCAGTGGCCTCGAGCTGCGTCGCGTCGCGGCCTTCGAGGAATTCATTTGTGCCCTGTATCAGCGTGGCGTGGTAGATTTCAGTTTCTCTTGTTAGGCGAGGGTTGGGGCTTTATTTGTTCTCAAGAAATCGGGGAAGCTCCGGCTCGTGGTAGACTGTCGTAGGAGTCATTGTCACTTCTGGGACCCTGCTCCCGTTTCCCTCCTCACTGGTGAAGGCCTCGCTGGGCTGGGGCTCGGCGAGGGTGGGGAACTCTATGTCGGGGGCGCCAATCTTTCAGGCGCCTTCAATGATATGCAGCTGCCGGCCTCGCTCAGGCCTTTCTGCTGTTTTAGGGCTGTGCGGGCTGGGGCGGCGGGGTGTGTGAGAGCCGATGGGGAACCCGTTCCTCCGAGTGCAATGGTGTGCCCCAGACTGGCGGTGATCCCCGTGGGCTGGAGTTAAGCTCTCTGGATGTGTCAGACAGTGCGTGGGCGTGTCGTTGAAGAAGCCGGCCGTCTTGGCTGCATCTTGGGCCGTCTTGGAGGCATCTCGTGGGTATCTTAGGCTCTTTTGGGCCCATCTTGGTCGTCTTGGAGGCCACCTTGAGCGTCTTGGGGACTTCTTGGGCCGTCAGTGGGCGCTCTTCGGGCCGTCTTGGGGGCCTCTTGGGCTGTCATGGGGCCATCTTGGCAGCCTCCTGCATGATCGTGGGGCGATCTTGGAGACCTCTTGGGCCGTCTTGGGCCGTCGGAAGGCCAAAAAGGAAAAAATGCAGCCATCTTTCAAGTATTTCAGAAACTATATGGTTCTGGTCTCTTCCGTTCTTCCTGGGGGAGCTTTTGGAGGCCTCTTGGGCCGTCTTGGGGGCCTCTTGGGTTGTCATGGGGCCATTTCGGAGGCATCCTGTGTGATCGTGGAGCGATCTTGGAGACCTCTTGGGCCGTCTTGGGCCGTCGGAAGGCCAAAAAGGAGAAAATGCAACCATCTTTCAAGTAATTCAGAAACTAGATGGTTCTGGTCTCTTCCGTTCTTCTTGGGGGAGCTTTTGGAGGCCTCTTGGGCCGTCTTGGGGGCCTCTTGGGGGCCTCTTGGGCTGTCATGGGGCCATCTTGGAGGCATCCTGTGTGATCGTGGGGCGATCTTGGAGACCTCCTTGGGCCGTTTTGGGCATTCGGAAGGCCACACAGGAGCAAATGCAACCATTTCTCAAGTATTTCGGAAACTATATGGTTCGGGTCTCTTCCGTTCTTCCTGGGGGAGCTTTTGGAGGCCTCTTGGGCCGTCTTGGGGGCCTCTTGGGGGCCTCTCGGGCCGTCTTGGGCCATCTGGAGGCCAACGGAGGCCGTCTTGGCTCCATCTTGGGCCGCCTTAGAGATATTATTTTGCTATCTGGGATTCTTGGAGCGCTGAAGAGCCGTCTCGTATGCTGCGACAAGACGCTGGGAGCCCCAGGATATGTGTGAACTTTTGGTCTGGGCCTCTTAAATAATCTTCTGGATTGAGGACTAAGGCTTAAGGGGTTAGGCAAAGGACCTGAGGTCACTCCAACTCGTGCCTCAGGGAACGGTTTCGGATTCCGTCGCATCTTCAGAAGCGAGACATGGGACAAGACGCACCCCTGGCGGGATTCCACCATGTGGAGGGGTTCATTGTCGATAGGGGCATCGGCCTTGGACATCTGATTGGCGCGCTGAAGGACTTCTTCGCCAGGGTTGGCTTCGCCAAACTTCGTTTCATGCCAGCCTGCACTCCTTATACCGGGCCGGCTACTGAGACTTGTTGGTTCAATCCATTTGGGGAAGTGAATGGAAGTCTGGAGCAGTGGTGTCTTCCGCCTTGAGATGATCTTGCCAAAGGGCATTCCAGAAGGTACGTCGACCATTTTATGGCACATCGGCGTGCAGAGATGGGCAGCGCTGCCTTACAATGCCGATAATCTCGAAGATCTCCTCCGCTTCCAATCGGATCTTGATACATTCAAGAGGAGACACCCTCCTGGCTGAAGCGGGCTGAGGAGTAAGTCAACTTCGGCGTGCCCTCGCCTCCAACCAGAGGGGCGGGATGAGGAGGAGGAGGAGGATGAGGATGAGGAGGGGGAAGATGAGGAGAAGGGAGTGAGGATGGTCCCTCCTTCTGCTCCCCTCGGCTTCGCCTGCGAGGTGGTCCGCAGCTGTATTTTTCTAGGCGACTTGCGGTCCTAGGAGGCCGGAGGCCAGAAGTCCACAGCGCTCAGAGCTCCTCCTTTGTACCAACTCGTGGGCATCTGCGCCTTTTCACTTTCGCCCTCGCCCCCTCGTTCCCATGTCTCCTTTCCCTTCCCTCCCTGGTTTCTCCTCCTCGGGCCCCCTTCCGCACTTCTCTCGCCTCTTCTCGTCTCTTTGTCCCCCTTTCCGTGCCTCTCTCCTCTATCCCCTTCCCGACCCTCCCCCTCCCCGCTCTTCTCCCCCCCCCCTTCCCCGTGCCCACTCTTCCTTCTCCCCCTGGATCCGCCTCTGAACTTCCTCCTGCACGCTGCATCTCGCCCAGGCGCTGTGCGTGGTGCGCCTGCTGCACCAGCAGGGCCTCGTGAACCCCATGGCCATCCTGCCGAAGGTCTTTGCCCTGTGCTTCGAGGGCGATGCGACGGTTGCTGCCCCCCGCGGGTGGAGGAGCAGGAGGGAGCAGGTCGGGTATAGCCAGGACCCCGGGTAAGGGGACCCGGTTAGTGGTAGGGCCCTGGGGCCCCTCAATTGGCCAGATTCACTAAACCAGGTTTGCCGTAGCTGGTGTTTTTCGGGTGACGGCAGTTCCGATTAGTGGAGATGGGACGGGGGGGCGCCCCCGGTACAAATCGCTAAACCAGGTTCCACTAAACCTAGTTCTGCCAACGCCCGAGCAGGAGCAGGGAGCAGGAGGAGGAGGACCAGTGTAAACCCGAGACGCATCAACGATGTTGCAGTCCATCCTGCCTCCAGGTTCCACCTTCACAGGTCCCTGCAATATCCTGTGTTCGCTGCGGAAGGTGCCGCGTTGGAAGACAACCGTCTGAGAATCTTCGGTCGTGCAAAAACATTTCTTGGCCCTCAACGCCGCGATTGAACGTTACTGTTGCGTCCTGACGGTCCTGAATCTTACCAGGACGCCTTTTTTTGGATTTCAACGCCGCGAATCATCATGACTGTTGCGCCCTGACGCTCCTAAATTGTGTGGGAAAGCGATTCCTTGGACGTCAATTATGAATCCTTGAGCCTGTTTGTAACTTATATGACGAATGTGCGCGGCGCTAATGCGAGAGCCACATGTTGAAAAGGAACCTCCCTTTGTCCATGAATCTCATGCGAATTTATAGGGCGAATGTGTTCAGCGCTAAGGCGAGATCCACATTTTTAAAAGGAGTTCGCCCTCTATCCGTGAAGCTCCTGCAAACTTTCAAGACTAATGTTCGCGGCATTGAGGCGAGAACCACAATTTGAAACTACCCGATTCTCTTGCGAATTCGAATGCGAATTTGCGCGGCGCTGAGGCGAGAGCCACAAAAAAACCGACCCGCCCTCCATCCGTGCAGCCCCTGCACAATTTCAAGACGCATACGCGCGGCGCCAAGGCGAGAGCCGACTTTTGAACACCAACCGCCCTCCATCCGTGAAGCTCTCGCAAACTCATAATTACCACGAATATGCGCTGCGCTCAGGCGAGAGCCACGTTAGCGGCCGGCCCTCCATCCGTGAAGCGGTTGCAGATTTCAAGCTTCAGGATTACACATGCTGGGGAAGTCTCGGGCGAAACGCTGGGCCCGCCTTACTAACACGTCTCGGGGTGCGACATGGAGGAGTTGTTCATTATCAGGAAAGGGACGGAGGAGGGGGAGGAGGAGGAGGAGGAGGAGGAGGAGGAGGAGGAGGAGGAGATGGAGGAGGAGGAGAAGGAGGAGGAGGAGGAGGGGGACAAGGAGGAGGGGGACAAGGAGGAGGATGAGGAGGAGGAGAAGGAGGAGGAGGAAGAGGTGGAGGATCTTTTTGCAATGAGCTGCTGCCGAATCATGCCGCTGACGAACAGGGACTGGCTGACAGATTAGGGGTACTCGAAGCACGATGGGGCATAATACCTGATTCACATGAAGGAGAGTTAATCCTTGCACGAATTCTCAGGGGGCATCAACTCTCAGGGGGTAAAGGGAGGAGTAGAAGTAGGAGTAGGAGTAGGAGTAGGATTGGGAATAGGAGTAGGAGTAGGAGTAGGAGTAGCAGTAAGACTAGTAGTAGTAGTAGTAGTAGTCGTAGTCGTAGTCGTAGTCGTAGTAGTAGTAGTAGTAGTAGTAGTAGTAGTAGTAGTAGTAGAAGTAGTAGTAGTAGTAGTAGTATTAGTGGTCGTCGTCGTAGTCGTAGTCGTAGTCGTAGTCGTAGTCGTTGTCGTATGCATGTAAGTACGTATGCGTGTATACATGTACTTGCTCATGTATGTATGGTATGCATGTAGGTATGTATGAACGCATTCATGTGTTTTTTCGTATGTATGTTTGTATGTATGTATGTGTGTATGGGTATATATGCATGCATGCATGCATGCATGCATGTATTTACGTATGTAGGTATATATGTAGATCAGAGTGAGGGGGCCGAATGGTCATTCATTGTCCCTGGGTGCGTGGTTGAGGTGAGAATCCGTGGTGCGGATTCTGCTTGTTGCGTTGTTGTTGTTGTTGTTGTTGTTGTTGTTGTTGTTGTGGAATTCTCATTTCTGAAGAATAATTATTGTTGATCCCCCCCGTCCGGTGCACATTGTTTTTTCTCGATTGAAATGCCCTTCCCGGGGCTCGCACCTAGTTTTTTATTAGTGAAAGTTTTGAGGGTCAAACTGTGTCGTTGGCCTCCGGGTTACAACAACAACGGCTCCCGCTTGAGATTTCCTCACAATTTAGCCAGGACCCCCGCTCCCGCCCGAGACTTCCGTGCATTTTATTCAGGAATCGCGCTCTCACTTGGGACTTCCTTTCATTTTATTCAGGAATCTCTCTCCTGCCGCTCTGGAGTCGCGCTCTCGCTGGAGACTTGCTTGCAATTTACTGAAGAATAGCGTCCTTGCGGCGGAAATTCCTGTAATTTATTCAAGCGCCGCGCTCCCGACACCCAGGCACCCAGGAGTCGCGCTCACGTTTAGGACTCCTTCACAGATTACCTAAGAATCGGGATCTCGCTGCCCTTACTGGCCCCGTTGCAGCCCTTCGTGGCCCCCTCGCTTTGTTTCGTGGCCCCGTTGCAGCCCCTCGTGGCCCCCTCGCTGTCATCCGCGGCCCCGTTGCAGCCCCTCGTGGCCTCCTCGCTGCCCTTCGTGGCCCCGTTGCAGCCCTTCGTGGCCCCCTCGCTTTGTTTCGTGGCCCCGTTGTAGCCCTTCGTGGCCCGCTCGCTGCCCTCCGTGGCCCCATCGCAGCCCTTCGTGGCCCCGTTGCAGCCCTTTGCGGCCCCCTCGCTGCCCTTCGTGGCCCCCTCGCTGCTTTTCGTGGCCCCATATATGTATGCCCTTCGTGGCCCCCGCTCGTTCGCGCCCGTGGTGGCCCCATATGATTGCCCTTAGTGGCCCCGCTGTCGCCCTTCGTGGCCCCCTCGCTGCCCTTCGTGGCCCCGTTGCTGCCCTCAGTGGCCCCGTCCTTGCCCTCCGCGGCCCAGTATACGTATGCCCTTCGTGGCCCCCGTTCGTTCGCGCCCGTTGTGGTCTCATGTGCATGCCCTTCGTGGCTCCGCTGTCGCCGTTTGTGGCCCCCTCACTGTCCTACGTGGCCCAGTTGCTACCTTCAGTGGCCCCGTCGTTGCCTTCTGTGGCCCCGCATGATCTACCCTTCGTGGCCCCCGATCGTTCGCGCCCGTCGTGGCGCCATGCGCGTGCCCTTGGTGGCCCCGTTGCCGCCCTTCGTGGCCCCCTTCCTGCCCTTCGTGGCCCCGCTGTCGCCCTTCGTGGCCCACTCGCTGCCCTTCGTGGCCCCGTTGCTGCCCTCAGTGGCCCCGTCCTTGCCCTCCGCGGCCCAGTATACGTATGCCCTTCGTGGCCCCCGCTCGTTCGCGCTCTTCGTGGCCCCATACGCATTCCCTTCGTGTCCCCGCTGTCGCCCTTCGTGGCCTACTTCGTGTCCTTGTGGCCCTGCTGTCGTTCTCTCTCGCTTCGCTTTCGCTCGTCGTCGTCGTCGTCGTCGTCGTCGTCGTCGTCGTCGTCGACGTCGTCGTCGTCGTCGTCGTGGTCGGTCCCCTGTCCGTCCTTCTTGGGGTCGGGTCGACGGTCCGCGGTCGCCCCGCCGATTAGCGTTGCCGCTGGCCAGGCCGACGGTCCGCGGCCGCCCCGCCGCTTGCCGGGGCCCGGCCTACAGGGAAGAACGGTCTACCCCCCAAAAGGGGGGTATCGAGGGTTTGGGAAATACGCGTTAGTGGACACTCGAGCAGATGAGGGCGAACAGTCTTAAGATGATTGTAGTTGTTGTGGTTGTTGTTGTTGTGGTTGTTATTGTTGTTGAACATTATTAATTCTAAAGAATAATTATTGTTGGGACCCCTGGTGCACGGCCCCCCTGCGCCGCCTAGGCCGCAGCTACATTTTCATCATTTTCGTGAGGAAGCCTCAGGTAATTCGATGTGATCAAGATCCGGTTGTTTTGTTCCCCCCCGCTTTCCCTTGCAAAAAACACTATAAAATGACATTTCTTGTTCTAATATAATCAAATTTCAAGAATCCCTTGCAAAAAATAAGGTAAAGTGGACATTCGCGCGCGCAAGACGAAATCCTTCCAAAAGCTTAGTGTTCGGAGCGATTTTAACATAAAAACATCAAAAAACCAATGGTTTTTCAACAAAAAAATGTCAAAATCTCATCCCGCGCGCTCTTGCGGATTCGTAGGAAACCCAACACTTTTTAAACATTTCTGTCAAACGGGCTTTTGCGAGCAACTTTTTCGAACTTCTGCGACAACGGT